GCACAGAGCGGGCCTGGTGGACTTCAGTTTCGACATGTTTCGGCAACAGTTACTCACTTGGCGGCTCGACACGCACGATCCGTGCAAAGGGCTCAACAAGGACAAACCACATTCGCATTTCACCTGACGTTTCAGCACTCCACACGTTTGAGCGCTGGACACGGACGATCTCCGCAGAGGGTGGTCGGTGGTCCGATTCGCATACTACCACAGCTTCGCGCATCCGACATGCACGAACACCCCAGACCAGAGGGTCGCGTTTCGTGAGCATCGGCCGGGCCACTTCGCCGCCGAAAGAGTTAAGCGGAAAAATGTCGAAGTTGTAATTGTGGATAGGTGCGTTTTATATTCGCCGGTATCTCTCAACACCTGTATCTACGTAGGTGTGTTATAGCCGTTGCACCACCTGCATCTCTGCATGAAGAAGAAAATGATGAAGATGAAGATGAACATGAAGATGATGTAGGTGTGTTGCGGCAGTTGCGGCGCCTGCATCTCCACACCTCGGTGATGGTGCGCGGTATCAGTTGCATCGCCTGCATCTGCGCACCTTGTTGATGGATGATGGACGACATGATGATCACGATGACGATGACGATTGAATATGCAAATGCTGTTGTTGATGATGATGTTCTGTTGATGATGATGACAATGATGATGATGGTGGTTGGACTGTTGAAATTTGCAGCTGTTCTTTACAGAGAACCCTTCACAGGCACCCCAAGAAGACGATGCAACACCTGTGGGGGTATGTCCCTTCATAGACTGTCTAAGTTTGTGGAGTGTTTTGGGAAAATTCACCAGATTGAATATTTTCCCAAGGCTCCTGGATACCTCTCTTATAGGTGACTGGTTCCATAGGAACTGACCATGTAGCGAGGAACCACAATCAGGAACCATCTTACACAGGTAACCAGGCCGGTTCCTTTAAATGTACACTGGACGTGTTGGGTTTGATAAACAGGTTGGCATACCCATCTGATACTGGTATACATGTTGTTCTTGGAGTAAATGTTCCAATTGAGGAACCGATCCTTAAATATATTTCCATGGGGGAGTGGCCGTTTGGTCAGGCACTTTGGCGCCATTTCAGATGGTGGACCTGGCGCCCAGAATTCCGCTTGGGAGGGGACCCGGAGCCGTCGCTTCTATTCCAGCCCCGCCAGCTACTAGTCGGGCCGAACCAAAATAATTCGTGTCGTTTAGGATGCATGAAAAGTAACGAAATTATTGCAACAGGGGAGAAGAAAGAGTCAACCTTACTAACAACCTAGGATTCATTACAAGATATTACAAGTCAGGTATGTTGTGACCCCTCACTTCACACGAAGCTTCAAAAGAGTGACGAAAAACCATTGCAAAAAACTGCAGTCCCCTCTTTTTTTCACTCTTGCGGCATGCCCGCTTCCCTCCTGGCAACAGCTTCATGGCCTGGTTGCAAGGCGGAAAATACTTTTTCAAGGAGCTAGGTTTTCCCCCACGGTGATTTCTCAAGACGCCCAATTTGAGCTTTTCAGGGCGCGAAAAGCTCAAAACATGTGCGTCTTGAGAAACATCCCTGGGATCGATTCCTCCCGCGTCATTTTGCACCTATACCCACCCAGGCCAGGCAGGAGAGCGCGGCGTTTTGCAAACCAGTGTGAACTGAAAAAATGCAAGGACCACCCTTAAATTCAGAAGCTTAGGTCGAATTTTAAGTGTCGTCGGGTGACGTCGCTATAATTCAGGCAGAGCTAAAGACGATGAGAAGCTTGGATTGCGCTATGCAGGAACCAGTGGAAAAATATTCCCCATGTCAGGGATTTTTTCCAGAAACTTTGAATTGAAAACACAGATCTCTCCAAAGTTTTCTCTCTCTCTCTCTATTGCTGTATATACATATATTTATAATATGTATGCATGCATACACACAACTTGGGTAAATCATCCCATTACCAGTAACAGTGGATGAGCGTGGTTAGTAAAGGCCGACATCTCAAAGAAGTGATAATCTTTGGCAAACGGTTGCACTGGTAATGGGCTACACCCTATATGCACAGCCAAGTCTGACTCGGCTGCCAAGGCACCGCCGGAAAGGCGGAATGTGCTGACGATTGCCTTCGTTGAAGGCTGGAGAATTCCGGCGGGAATACGGGGCAAAAGGCGTATTGCAAATTTCCATCTGTTGTGTAGAACAAGATCGCGTCAAGATCCCGAAAATGCGGTTGGTCATAGGTGACACAACCCCGTGCCCCGTGATGGGAGTGTCTGCGGCAGTGCACTGTTCTTAGTGCAATGTGGGAAGTGAGAAGTACAACCTTAGTGTAAGCAGGTATCCCAAGAACCGCAATGTTTACATATCTTCTGAGCTATTCCACATCGAAATACCGGTTTTGGTCTATATCACCTCCGCAAAGATCCATTTTCATCGTCAGCCATTGAAGTTTTCTTTCCAAATACGAAAGGAAGCTTCTAATTGTAATAGGCTGAGGTTGGATACCTTTTCGGATTGGAAGAGTTCGATGGACCGATGGGCGTAGAAATTTCAAGCCCAGTGGCCCAACGCTGTGTGAAGCATTTACTAACTATATTGACGGTTAATTCTCAGACCTGATTGAACAATGGCAAGCAAAATGAGGACCCAGCCTATTTCGCGCAATACAAGCGGAACGCGCGCCCCACCAGGACTATGGTCAGGCAACGGAACCTGCAGGTCCATATTGTGCCCTTCCTGTCCCTGTGTCTCTTCTGGGAAATAATACGCCAATCATCTGGTCCGCGGCGGTGCCGTGATCCAGGCGTGGTGGTGCTGCCAGATGCAGAAGAGGACTCCGTAATGGGTGAAGGTTCAAGGATGGAGGGATGTGGATAAATGTGGCCCTGCCAGTACACCATTATTGTCCTTGATGAAAAAACATGAAGGGTTTGTGATATTTCACGTTCCTGAACAGATGTTCACGTCCCTTCAATCGCTTTGAGTCAACCTTGTGGATCTCCACTAACTCAAACAAGTGAAACACACCGCCCTCCCCAGATCTCCCCAAAGTGGACGTTCGAGCCTCAACCATCAGGACTCTGACGAAGAGTGAGCTTTTTGTGACAGCTGCCGAGATCCCAAGAGTGATAGCTGAGGGCAGCAAAGGATCTGCAGATGCCGCTGATGCTGCCTGATCAATTTTCACAAAAAGAATCCAACAACACTTGTGAAAATCGGTCTCGGATCGGTACCCTTTTTCTTGCTGGGATCTACAGTAGAATCAGTAGAATCTAGAGTACAGAGCGGATCGGCGCCCATTGCACCCCCCACAGATGGGGTCCAGGGAGCCATAGGTGGACGACGCAACGGAACCCAATCCCTGTGGATGAGTTTTTAGGACACAAACGCAAAGTCCACTCAAGAAACAATGTATTTATGGTAGCTTATATACATGAGTCTATCACGTGAAGTAGATGTGGAACTGAAATCACGTCCCCTTCATTGTTCTTTCAATTGGGAACTCATGTTTATTCAAGGCAACTGTGGATACTTTCCATAGCGATGCGAAACGAATGTGTCTTAGAACAACTGGATTGCTAGCAAGGTTGGAGGCCACCGCTATTAAGGGGAGGCCATCGCTACTAGGTTGAAGGCCATTGCTAGAAGTTGAACTCTTTGAGATTCTCCCGGATTGATGGTCAAAGGTAGTATCACAGCGCCGGCCAGAGTCTCTTCAACTGGATCGCAATTGGCGCTCAGCGCCCTTACTTTTCGGAATTTCTCTCTCGGGTCGCTACACTGGAAACCTCCAAAATAGAATCAAGCATGGTCAATCAAGAGAATAGATGGACTATGATCGACTTATAATTACTGAATGTAGATCAGTTGACTGTTTGTTTTGGTGTTGTTAAAGGTTTTCAAGTGACTTTATGTGTTTTTTTTACATACTATATGAAGGCAATTGAAAGCTTGCGTTTGTATCTACTCTCGTTCTGATTGTTGTTCATGCTGTTCAAACCTTTTCCAGCCTGCAGATATTTTCTCACGAGGTCACTTGAACAAGTTCACAGATTCTTCATTTCACTTAGCAGGGGAAACATGTTCATAACATGTTGTAATCATGGGTCATAGATCCAAGCCATAAAATGGTGATATGTGTTTAATTCTTCATCTTCTGTAACTAGATGATAGACCCGACGAAGAGCCGACGAGCCATTCGTCAAATCTTTGAGCACTGTCCACGCAAAAGCGTCGGTGCCAAGCGTTGTTCGGTGCAACGGTGAAGCAGTGGTGACCATGGGGGAACCATCCCGAGTCTGACAGCTGATGTTTGGTTTGCTTATACTATGTTGAAGCAATTTCCTCTTAGCACTCACAATTCATCAACAACAGACCCGAAACAGATCGTCAAAAGCACCACCCTAACAAACCAATGCCATCAGATTGCATCAAATCTCGGAGTCCGCGCATTGCCGGCCGCGCTGCAGGGGGCCCTACGCCTGAGGCTGAGGAGTCGAGTCATTATGCACTCAGGTCAAGTCAATAGTTTGCATTTATCTATAGGTCCTCAAGGACTGTTTCTTGGATCTTCAGGGCGCTTGCCCTGTTTTTTTTTTTTGTGGCAGCGGTTGCAAGACAAAGAGAGAGTGTTAGGCAGAGGAGTCCTCCAGACTTGATGTTGGACACGTTCATTGTTCTCTCTGCAAGGAGCGCTTGCGACGCCGAGCCGAACGGCAAAAGCAAGCAGAATAAGTAGACGAGGCTGGGCAGGTCAGGGCTGGTCAGAGCGGTTTGAGCACTTGTTGGCCACAAGAAGGATACGAAAGCTAAATTATCTCGGAAACATACGTTGAGATGACAATTGACTACAACACTCAATTGCTTTAGAGCCTCTAGGAATTGGCCGCTACCCTGACGAATGAAACTATAGGAATGGGCATTTGTGGTGGAAGGGTACTCGAAGCAGTGATATGTTTTAATGATGAAGCATTTTTTGGGTCAAGGATTGCGACATGCCTCGTCATTCTTTTAGGATTCCGCAGGCATGGCATTTTGCGCCGCAACACCAACGCCACTGGCCCAGTATGCAAAATTGTTGCGAACACGACCCGATGTGGCTGCAGCCAACGTGGGCGAGGGCAGTCCAAGGTACTTCCCTATGTACACAGTGCCTCTACGCACTTTGCTGGAGATGAAGAGGGTTGAGCCGCATGAATTGCTAAAAGCACGAGAAGTGCTAGTGGAGTTCGACCAGAGTATGGGAAATGCGGCATTTGTTTCTCACCAATGGATTAGCCAGCTACACCCAGATCCAGAATTCACACAGATGCAGGTGTTGCAGAACGCCTTGCAACATGCCTTGGACAACATGCAAGAGTCACCAGGCATATGATAAGGCACTAGCAGACCTTCATGTGTTCTGACACTCATGTGTTCCTCCAGATGACCGTATTCTGAAGGGTACATGATCCATTGAGATTTTAGCGTTGACTTTGAGCTCACCCATCGCCGAGCGATAGAAACAGAATACAGACATTCGATACACTCTCCATATTTCACAAACTAGAGCAATTGAATGCTGGAGATAATAGAATGAAATTCGACGAGGCATCTCGACGATATAAATTCTTGACCAGACCGTGTCGTGTTTGAGGATTCCACTGGATAGCGTTACTCAGTGGTCGACCCCCACAGCCAAGCCACTTCGGACTCTTGAGCTTCGCTCCAAACCGCTCTTCCTATGGTACGACTACTTCTCGTGCCCTCAGCTGGATCGACGAAGCAACCAGCTTCAAGGAGCCATTGATAGCACCTGAGACGAAGCAAACCACATGTTTTCTTTAAAGACGTGTTTCATGTTTTGTCCGGGAAACCACATATGAATACCTATATATGATACATTAAAACTGCATTGTATGGAGAAAGAAACAACTTACTGTATCACTTGTTTTCGAGGGAAGAAGACACGACCAAAATACATGTTAAGGTTGTTTGACTGCTTCAGGTATCCCAGCTTATGTGGAAGCCTGCGCTTTCTTCTTTGCTTTGGTCCCGGTCGTGGAGAACCCCGAGAGCTCTCAACTCTTCACGCCATCCACATGGTCGGAGCGAGGCTGGTGCCGCCTCGAGCGAGTCTGCCGGGAGCTCTCACAGGAGGAGTCGTGGATCATGGTGAAAGGCTCGGCAGACTTAGAGCGGCTCGGTCAACATGTCCAATCCAGCGTCTCGTATTTGAAGTACTGCATCTTCATTGATGAGAGACTTAGTGAAACAGCTAGGTAAGTCGCACTGATTCCTAGGGATCATAATTACCACAAATAGATTCCTCGAGTCACTTTGCAGCTTAACCAAGAAGTGGTAATTTTGCTGTTATTCTTTCCCGTTAGCTCCCAACCTATGAAAATGTAAAGCAACCCTGGCTTAACTGGAAGTGTATCTCCCTGGTCATTTTCCAGCGATACCCGGGGATGCAGGGGCGCTCGGCTTCCTCGGTAGTGAGCATTGCATTTTCTGGCCTTCCTCGCTTGCTGATTGGGCTTACCTGTCTGTGGTCTGTTCCCGGGGGGATTTACATGGTCACCAACTTCCTCGTAAACAGCGTCCTCGCCTAGATTTATTTCCTCGTAAGTTCTGAGGAGTGTAAATCCTAAGCACTTTCTACTCGACAAAGAAGCGTTCTCGTTTCCAGCTGCCCCGTGATTCAATAGGCGAGCCTAATGGATCCAATCACAAGGATAATTGTAATGCCCAGACTTACTAGTTGTTGCATGTTGTCTTTCTTTCTTTCTTGTACGCTAAGTGCCACGAGTAAGGCTCTGCGTCTTGCAGAATGAATTCTCTAATTAGTTTGCTGGTGGAAGTCGGGGGCCGGGGCGGGGAGCTCATGGTCATCGTATTCAAGTACCAGAGCTCTTACCCACTCCACATCTGCCAGCCGACACCGTACTTCTGGATGCCTCTGGATCCAATGTTCAAACATTGCCGCAATGAAACGGCAAAAGAGGGGAGGGTACTCCTTCAGGTGAGAAGCCTTCCAACCGTCCTTACCGAGTCCCACATTGGATCCTTTGGTGCAGGTAGGGTTCCGCCATTGACGATCGCATTCGCGAGCATCATTCAAGGAAATGCTTGCTAGAAGAAGCCAGGTAGGTTTGGCACTATCTTGTCCATACATGCCCTGGAACACATCTAAAATGCAAAACCATGAAGACTGCTGAAGCCATTCAATGACCGCAGAAAGCCATATGCCTGGTGCATTGGTATGTGTAGTACCAAGCGAATGCGGGTTTGCTGGATGCTCTAGGAAGCAAAAACCACCAGTTGCCGCTTGCAGAATGACCGCACGCAGTGTAAAGAGCATCAGCAAGTTACCCATCTCCGTCTGGGCATGTTCACGCATGGATATATCAAGTAGTCCCCAAAGTTCGTTTCTCGTCCGCAAACGTCTTGGCGGTCTCCTTATATGCGCTGGGTCATCTTGAAATCTGGCTATACGTACTCCAGGTCTCACAAGGAGGCCCCCCAAACCCTCCAGCGACCGATCCTGCTGCAATAAATCGAAACCACAGATCTTGTTGTTTCGAGTCCGCTAAATTGCAGCGTTTGGCGTCTATAGCTACATCGACAGAAGCCACTGTAAGGATGGCGCCCTCCGGGATGTGTATCTCTTCCAGTTTAGACTGCAGGTCTCCTTTTCTTCTCCTACCGCTAAACAGGTGAAGCACAATGATCTCTTGGGGCAGGAACGACCTGGTAACAATAGCAGTTGGGTGTTGCATGTTGTGCGGGTGAATAAAACAAACTTCTAATACCCTTTACCCTTTCCTACCTTGGTCCCGCCTGGGCTAACTTGCCTGCAGATCACCAAGTGTGTAGTGTAGCTTGTCTCAGAAAGTTGAAAGTTTGACACATTGCAGTTGTCAACAAAGTAATGAAAACCAGTCCTGCCAGAAACGTTACAACAATGAACAATGCTGATCCCCAAGACCCATCAAAATAGACATGGCGGCGGATATGACTCAGAAGCTCACCAAATGTATGATTGATTAAAGTGTGTTGCATGTGTTTCTTTCATCTAATATGGACGACTATGGACGTGGCATCGCTCGGGCTGAGGCCTTGCCAATCACTTTCACGGATCAAAAGACAGAATGGGTGACAAGCGTTTGGAGTCTGGACAGAGATAGGAATTTACAGACATCACCAAAATGTTGCAGGCAAGAGTTGGGATTATGTTAGGCCGCATGAACGAGTTCAACATAACATACCATAATACCCTGACCCAGGGCGAGACTTTGTCGAAGATGCAATGAGTGGGGGTTTCATGGGGGTTCACACTTACACCTAGCCAGTTTCAGACCAATTAGGTGGTTTTTCTTCCCTACCCCTTGGCATCACCAAGGCTGAAGTTAGGCAGTGGCACCTCCATGGGAGAAGGCGGCGTTGGAGAAGGAAAGTTCACCGTGCCCGAAGACCGTTTGAAGCTTCTTCCAGTGCTGCTGGCTGCTGTGAGACGCAAGCTGTTCCATCTCCTCCGAACTGGAGACTTTGTAGGATACAGAGTGCTGCTGAATAAGCAGGCGGCATTGTTCAGAGGTTTACCCCTGGAGGAATTTCTACAGCCTATTCCCACCATCGATCCAAGTGACAATGAGGACCCCAGATCATTGGTGGCGAAGTTCTTCCATCAAAACGGTTTCACCGGGATTTCCCAAACAGATCATGGTGGATGGACACCGCTCCACTATGCTGCACTGGCTGGAGACACCTTGTTGATTGATGGCTTGTTGAAGCAGCAGGCAGATCCCAACTGCAACAGCAAGAAAGGGCAACCACGAGTGGGGCTGGCTGCGCGGACCTCACCACTGTCTGTGAGCTGTTTGTTCAGACATCATGCAGCCTGTCGTTTGCTCATATCTGCCAAGGCCGGGGAGTAGCGTATCAAGAATGAATTGTGTTGAGGTTCAAACTTGCATACAAACGGATTCCAAGAGCAAGCTGAGGCCCGAGTTACGGCTGGTTTTCTGCAACCACCCCTGCTGATGGCTGCCACGGCCAACGACCCAGAAGGAGTCCGTCTCCTTTGTGAGGCCAACTGCTCACCAGACCAGCGGAACTTCCTGGCGGTGTCCGCGGTTGAAGCGGCTTCCACCTATGGCTCCTTAGAAGCGATCGAGGAATTGGTCAGTCAACAGCAAGCACGAGGCCGAGATTGTCGAAATTCCCTGGAAATTTGAGCCCTCTGCTCTGGGCTGATCCATGCTCATAGTTTAAACTTGGTTGCCCTGCCAGAATATAGAACAGCGCATGGCCAAGCCGCTGTTTTTTTTTAGTCCAGGCCCCAAAAGGCATTTCGAAACGAAGAGACTGACCGGAACTCCACATTCTGACGGGTCGAAGGGCGTCGTTAAAAAGACATACGAACGCTGTTGTAACAAAACTAAGGAATAAAACAACATGATATATGAAATCGGAAGATGACTCTAGGAATATGATCAACATAAAAGCAGGTATATAGTAGAAGTGTTGAAATTGGATAACAAAGATAACAAAGCCTTGTGTGTGCAAGGCGATGCCATAGATCTCTCTCACTCTTTGCATTGGGCAATGCTTGTCAAGGGAGGCAATTCCGAAGTGGTCCATCGTTTGCTTGACCTGAAAGCCGATGTGAATGACCAGAGCTTCGATTGGCCTCGACGCACAAAGGCTCTTCGAGTCCTTTGCATGTTGATAGTTCTGCAGCACCGATGTGGCAATGTCAACACAATGACCACGCAAGTGTACCACGCTGAAGGTGCCACTCCTTTGATGTTCCGCTCGGATTTGCTTCGAAACCTTTTGTATGTTGTGCCCTTGATTCTTCTTGCATCTTCTTGATTCTTGCAGTTTGTTTGCTGGTTTTGTAGACAGTGACATGAAGTTCGAGCTTTTTGCCGAGTCAACACATGTTCCTTGTACCTCGCAGTTGTATCACCATCTCAGATCATCTCAGGTTCGCTTTGATTTCCTCTCAGTACGAGGCTGCAGCCTCCCTCATTGCCAATGGGGCTAAGCTGGACCTGCAGAACGCTCGCGGATGGACAGCAGAGGACTTTGTGCGAGACCATGACGTGCCAGATTTCCTGCAAGCGGCCTTTGCTGGAGGGGTTGGACGATCAGCTGAGTGCCGGAAGGTCTCAAGACTCTCTTTGCAATCAAATGATGATGGATATGTGGCCATGTATTTGTAGATGCAGCCAATGTTGCTGCTCAAGCGCAGGACATGACCACGAAAAACGCGAGTTCACTGGATTTTGCCATGGGGTACACACTGAAAAGCAGGCAATGAGTTTTGATGAGCTTGACTGGATCTGAGAGAGGCCGCCATATTTGATCTAGCTTGATCAATGAAGAAGTGGGTGTCGTTTCGTAAACCTTCATTCATTAGTCATTAACCTTTGTTTCGTTTTGTTTCAGTAGTTTGCAATCTCAGAGGGACAACCAGTTGGTCACTGCACTGCCTCCTTTGTTAAACGATTGAACGCATGATGTTGTTCTCAATGTTTGTTCCTTCTGGCTAGACATTTTACATGCATTTGCACCTTCTACTTCAATATGAAGAAATAGATCTAGCTGCGAAGCAAGGGCTCTCCTAGATGCTCAACGGTTTTTATATACTTAATTAATATATCTCCTTCCCTCATGTTGTTGTGGATGTTCAAAAGTTCTTTCTTGTATTACATTCCAAGTGCGCCAGCCTTCAATTCAGGCCTTCAGTGATGCGTAGGTTCATCCAATTGAGCTCTGGAGATGAAGGATTGTAGATGGGTGTTTTGATCATCAAAATAGAGGATTTTGATCTAGCTGCATCGGCCTAGCCAGCTGGGCTTGTAATTCTTGCTTGCGACAACTCCTCCAAGACGTGCGTTTGTCTCCAAACATGTTTAGCCTTGCCAAGTTCCAGGAAAAAAACTCAAGACTCAAAGACCTCAATGTGTTTTCTTCGTTGAGCTTTATTTTTATCCTCTTTGAGCTTGCCGCAGTGCTTTTCACAGAAAGCAAAAAGCAGCTGCCACGCATTGAACTCGCGAGAGGCAAAAGGTTTCAATCGCATTGGATCCAAGAGATTTCTGGCGGTAGGGGGCAGATCCACTTGCGATTGTTCATTTTGATAGGTGTCACCAGCACAGATGGTGAGGTTGGTGAATTTTGGGACCTTGCTAGCTGGCTCAGCTGTTGGCTCAGCAGTCACCTGTGAGTTGGATTGTTTCCCCGTGATGGCACTGCAGAGCGTGATGCTCTTGTTGCCCGTGTTGCCACTGTTGTGCTTCGGCTTTCGAGAGTTTGTCCGGAACATCGGCTGTTGGGTTGGATGTCATTTGTTGTGAAAAGCTGCTGAGTGAAAGAAAAGACAACATGTGTTATGTGGCCGATGCGCTTTTCAGGGTTTTATATGGTTTTAGAGTTTGGGGTCCTTGAACGGTCCTGAAGGTCTGAGGAAGTTCCCATTGGATATTTGTTTTGCTTGGTCATGGCCCATCAAATGATGGAACGAGGGGTGTTTGACTCCTCAGGACAGGAGCTTTCCCCATCAAGAAGCCACAAAGACACATCTAAGTAGACAGTGGACCAGGATGCACTGTACATGTTGTTTTTGTTGCTTGACATGGGGATGTGCAAGCGCAATTCATTTTGGAAGTGATGTCATCCCACACAATTTGCTTCGTTTCATGGCCGCCTGTTTTCCTTGCCCTCGCTATCAACAGAGATCCGCAGGTCGTACTCTGCTTTGTAGCAAACCTGACCAAAGGTTCTGAGCTGGATTCTTTGGCAGTGCAGAAAGAATCCACGACGTGTTGCTTCCGGTGCCAAGCTAGTAGCTGCGTAGCTCGAGTTGGATCTAACGTAAACCCTGCAGCCTAAGGTGGACGGCCGTGTCGGCCTTCGGCACTTGGACACCGAAGAACCAAGGAACGGACCGTCCTCTCTCGGTGGCCACAAGTGGTTGAACAAGTGTTCAATGACCTCTTCCACCTCATATTTTGGGGTTTACAACGGGCAATATCCTTCGGAAGAAGGCCTTAGTGTATGCCAGTGGCTTGACCAACTCAAAAATATCGTTTAAAGGAATCCACACCCGTTTGGCTAATTTCTGACAAAGACAACAAATGTAGTCGGGGTGTAGTGATGATTTTGGGATGTAAACCGCCGCGCGCTCCATCCAAGAAGCTGTTTGGACGATCACCATCATGTTCAATTTAGAAGCTTATCGCTATTAGGTTGGAGGCCATCGCTAGTAGGTTGGAGGCCTACCGCCCAAAGGACTATGTTGCCTGGGCGCAAGGGGGTGCTGGAGTGATGTTGGGAGGGTGCCCCGTTTGATATTACTTGCACCACCGAGTTCAATCCTCAAACAATTTCCTATCTATATATTACAATAATCATCCTGTTTAGGTAACAGAACCGTGAGGAACAATATTTTAAGTCAGATGTGTGGATTTCCCTCGTTTGGCAGCCAAGCACGTACAAACTGAACACCTGTACTGTAAGGCATGGCCACACAGCCGCCAGCTGGACCCAGTTATTTGGCCACTAGCAGAGGCAGTGGTGAATGCATTTGGGCAGGAACCAATTATGGCTGCTAGTCGGACAGTGAAACCATTTAGGGCGGAGCAACATGGCCCATGGTGCTGAGGTAAACCTGCACTTTTGAAGCGACCTGAAACACTGCTGGCATGCCGAAACTACTCATGCGCGGGATGTCATTTGGCCCTGCAGGCCTTTTTCGCCTGGATGTCTCCGAAGATCGTTCAGACCTGTCTATGACGAAGGCCCTTGACTCGTCCGGACTGCTATCAACAGATTGTGATAGTCAACCAGGGTTCGTGATAGCACAGAAGTTCCAGATAGATTCACCTTATCACTAGTGTCCACCCCAACACAGTGATTGTTATCAGTGCAACGTCCGCAGAACGCAATTATAATATGACGTGAGGCGCTTGCTTCAAACCTGTTGCGCAAACTTTGGCATGTGTGCAGCTCAATAATCCTTGCATTATCTTGCATTGAGAGTACCTCACGGGCAGGTGTGGAACCACACAACCAACTTCGGAAGTGGCTACTTGTCTCCAACCAGACCACTCATCGTTCAAGCAGTGTGCAGTTCATTTCTGTTTGTTTCCTTTCAATCTTGATCTAATCTGTCTATTTGCAGGTTGCAAACTGGTTGTTTGCACTTGATGCTTTATCCAACAAGAACACGCACACACACACACACATGTCATCCAAGATTGTGCTTGGGGCGCATTGCAACATCTGAATAGCCAGCGATGTAAATCCAAACGTTGCAAGTTCAGAAAATCCTCCATGAAAGACAGGCGCAGGGCAAGATCCTTCACCATCCCTAGGTTGGAGGTCATGGAGTAGGCCATTGCTATTGGGTTGGAGGCCATCAACATTAGGTTGGGGGCCATCGCTATTAGGTTTGAGGCCATTGCTATAAGGTTGGAGGCCATTTCTATTAACCAGGTTGGAAGCCATGGAGTCTAATATAATTAGTTTTCCCTAGAAATCTAGGATCCAAATCATTTTTGTGAGCGCTTCTTCAAGGAAGCGTGAGCTATCCTGCGGTCATGCCTAGAAGCGAACTTAGTCTAGTAGCGTACTCAGGCTCACGAGTCCCTTACTTGTATAACTAAGTAGGTGCCTGCATAATATTGTGGGTGTCCGGGGGGGGAGCGGGCTTTAAGCAAAAGGGTTATTTAGATCAAGAAGTTTGCCACCTCAGGGGGTGAACTGGGGATCTCAGAATCCGGGCTGATGCTGGTGACGAAGTTCGGACTTTACAGGTGCCGAAGGGAGTCCATGGGTTGCTTGGTGTCGGTTGGCACATACAAGGTGAGCTGAACACAAGTCCTCAAGAAGGATGCTGCTATTATGCCATTCATCATGAATAACATGATAGTCTATAGGGCAGTAATTCTGAATGGATGTAGCAGACAAACCATGTAACAAGACAGAAGAGCATTAAGAACAAACTGCTTCAACCCAAGGAGGGCACTCTCTTCCTTCCCGCAAAGCCTTGCACACGCTTGCACATCCCTGAAGGTATGCCTGGTACCGCAACAGAACGAGTGACTGGAAATCCCTTACGGGTATCTGGAACAAGCAAGTGGGCAAGAAGAATGACACTGGTGTACATGACTAGATCATCCAGCTTCGCTTCAAGGTAAACAAAAATGCATGGGGCAACACTGCGAGGAAGACTGTCTTCAAAACCCAGATGTGTGTTTCTGAGGAATTCCCGGCAGCGGATGAGCTTCGAAATTACACTGAGAGCTTCAGTGACAACCGCTATCACGGTGTCCTGGCATGTGTCGGAAGCGGCAAAGGCGGACAAGACACTTCAGGAGTTCGCGAGAAGGCCTTGTCATGTGCTGGGGCCCCCAACTCTCTCGTCAGTACGGTTGTAATATGGTGAGTACTGATGGTTTAGAGACGTTGGATCCATGCCAGTTGGGGGACTGTCAGATGACTATCAAAAGATCTAGCGTTTAATACTTCCGAAATAACCGTGAACCTCCATAGGAAAACACATATATGGTATAGTAAAATGTAATATAATATACGTAGGCATCACTAGTCAGTTCAGATGTTCCAACCGCTAGGGGTTCGTCAGGTTATGCCCATCCGTGGCGCCCCAATGGTCGCTAAGTTTCTGGAGATGTGGAGAGTCTTTCGAGATTCCTGCTTGAGGAACCATGAGCTTTCGGATTTGAGAACTTTTGAAGAAGAGGTTCCGGTTGCACTCTTTACGTACCAATTTCTGTGCATACTGAAGTAGACGTGGACTTTGGGTTTTGGATTTGGCCATTTGATCTACCTTGCCAGGAAACTAAATGGTTAAACTTCTGAAAAGAAAAAAACATAAACTGACTTGGTTGGCCACCTGCGGAGGGCAGATGGTCGAAGATCAGGTAATGCCGAGTTTGCCGCCAGTGAGTACGCCCAAGTTCGGGCTGCTTGGCGTTATGGAGCCGACAGTGGCCACCGGGTCAAAGCACTCGCACATCCATCGGCCGAAGCAAATCAATTTGACCTGAGATTCGAGGCCAACTTCATTCGACGGCAAATGGACAGATTGAACGACCAGAATTCAAGTGGGGCAGCCAGAGCGTCCCCTTCAAACCTCTCCATTTGGCTCTGTGATTTGCACTCTGATGGCCATCGTGTGCACCGTGTTGAGGCGCCGTGTCTTCATCGGTCGCCTGCGGCTCCAGGTGCGCGACGTGTCGAGCTTCGGCTCCGCGCGGGGCGACGGTGACGGCGGTGCGGCGTGGCATCGCCAGGACCGCGTGGCTTTTGAAGGGAGGTTTGAGGGTTTCTTCCAAGAAGAGAGAGCGGGTTGCATGGAGTTGACGGCACTGGGCTGCCGATGTCGTCTTTGGCTAGGTTCACATGGTCCCGAGTCACAGGGATCACGCTCACCCAGGGAATTGAGGATTTCGCAACAAACATGGATTCTGCCAGTCGGGCAGACTAGTTATAGAGGTTTGAAGGCTTCCAGGGTTCCGCCAACAAACTCTCAATCAGGTTGTTCAGCTTGAGCCACCTGCCCTCCTGGCCGAAGAGGTCTCTGAAGAGCTAGCGAATGTGACCTCCATCACTGTAGTGGGCGCTGGTGCTGGCCTGCGCCGCCTGGGGGCGCTAGGTGCCGCGGCCAACAGAGGGAGATGAATACAAGCCGAGGATTTCATTGTTTTTGAATGTGTGAGACAATGCTTTGACACCCTGTAGACCATGTCATGCAGTAACAGCATTTTCTCAAACTGCAGCTCTTCTCGAAGCAAGGCAGCTAGAGTGGTCAATTTTATTCACTTGTAGTACATCCAAAGTGGTACTTGGATCGCTTGTGTGTATAGAAGCTACTAGTAGCAAGTGCATCGCTTACTAGTAGCTTGTAGCTAAGGAGAGCTCCTGGTGGAGTACACAGTCCTTCAACCGGAAGGCTCTGAAGAGGATACCTCAGAGCATGTTGAGGCCCTAATGGCACAGGCCCGGCTGTTGCGGATTAGAAGATCTCCAAACAGATGATGTTCGAAAGCAGTCTTTTGGAGTTTGTTTGTTGTTTGTGTTGAATTTGTGCTGGTGCTGGTTGATTGGCATAGCATGTCACTTTGTCCCCGCCCAGTGGTCACTTTCGGCATGCTTGTTGTCTTACTCCAGGTGTATGCGAATTCTACGGCCCTCACGGCAACCAACGCCATGGCTGAAGTCGACCCCGAGTTCGCGGCATCCAGGTCGGTTGGGTCGGTCGGTTTCCAAAGTCCCCGAACAGTAGCGTCCTTGCTCCGTTCGTAGCGATGCCAGGAGCCCCGTTCGTAGCGTCCGACCGCTCCTAGTAGTAAGGCCAGGAGCTACTAGTAGCATCCTTGCTTGCTCCTAGTAGCGATGCCCTTTGTTGGTAGTAGCTTCTTGTTACTACTTTTGTACTAAGCCTATACTTCATGATTTCACCCGCCCGTGACGCCACAAATCGTACCAATCCGTCACGCCCGCACTATGCTTTTGCAAGCTAAGCTTGTTTCTCCAAGGATTTTGTGCTAACTTAGACCGCCTATGACCTCATACTTGCCAACCTGATTCATACCTGCATGTGTCACATATCAAACACTATGGAGACCGTCCCCCTGCTGTGGTTGCTCCACCTTCAGCTTCCTTTCCTCGACCAACTATGACCAGCCTGCAATTGCATGCCTTTTCTCGCTTTCCTTCTCCGGTTCTGGGCAGGGCGATATCCGCGGTGTTCCTCACGGTTCATCCAAGCGCCACAAGCAATCTCTTCCGACCAATGGCAGCCGATCCCTTTTGTGCAACCGACCAGACGTGGTGGCCTAGCAACGGAGAGTAATCAAGACGTTGCCAAGAATGTGTCACCAGTTATGAGCCCCTAGTAGCATCCTTGCTCCTAGTAGCGATGCCCTTTGCTCCCAGTAGCGTCCTTGCTCCTTGCTCATGACGCATTCTTCCGCTTTAATTAGAGTCCCAGTGCTACAGCAGCTCCTCGAATTCCAGGTCCAAACCTTTCACTGACCCGTTTCAAGTCAAGAGCCCATAGTTTCAGACAGATCTGCAGAGTGCTTGGTTTGGTTTGAGCATGTGGGTCGCCTGAGGCAGTTCAACACATGAAGGCCAATTTCCCGAATATTAATTTGCAATTTGCTTCATTTCGGTGCTTGTCAAACTGTTTGTGCGACAAACACTCGCAGGATCTCACTTCATCTCAGATCGAGAGCGAGCGACTTTGCGGGCACTTGGTTTCCCATGGTTTCAAGGTTTCCCACGCATGCGAGAGAACGCATTGATCTACACCGAAAAGTCTATACCGAACACAACCAAAAGCGGACGGTGGCGGTAAGTCCCAATGCATGCACCGTGGCTCGTGCCGCTGATGAGGGCTGATGCTTTTCTTTTTGGAAGTATATAATTGGCTTTGTCTCCAGCCCGCAACGCTTTTAGGCCAAAGCCACCTAGAGGTGAAAGTAGCGCTCCAGGCATCATGATGGCACGCTTTGGACCATGATAAGGCCTTGACAAAGGCAAAGGCTTGACAATGCTCACAGTTTCCATCTTCTTTGTCTCATTTCATCTCCTTTCATCTCCTTTCTCTCCTTTTCCAGGTTTCTCATGGCGGTTTTCCTGAGTTCGACAGCTGTCACAACACAGCCGCGCTCAAAGTCTGAGGGGCGAAGGGAACACCTGACTTTCACGTGGGAGGATACGAGCTCAGGCGAGCTTTTAGAGATTGTGAGATCGGCTTGTGAATCCGCAAAAACGTCAAACATAGATCTCCAGACAAGACAGTAACACCATTCAAATCTGTTCCCTCAAACCCCAAGGAAGCTGTTGTACTCGATCGGGTATAGTAAGGGTATGGTGATCCTATGTTGTGTGATTGGCAAGGTTCAGCGGGTTGAAGGTCATCAGTTAAACGGTGCGCGTCACCATGTTTGCTGTGGGATGATGCTCATTGTTGTGACTCAAGGGGCCCTGAGTCAATGGGGTCAACTTGTCACATGGCTATGACAGATATGCGTTGACCTGTGACCTTGTGGTATGTGATGACATGTGTGGTGAAGTGTACACAGCTCATTTGGGTATGTATTTAAATAGGGAGACCTCAACAAGATCCCCAGGAAGAAGGGACATAGACGACCAGAACTCGTTGGTGGGGGTCCCCATAATATGAAAATCACCCATTAGATATGTATAGTGGATTGGAGGTGATGTCCACATGCTACAACAAGTTGGGAAGACACTGAAGACACCACAGTAAACCTCCGACCATACACATCCAAGCAATGTAACCAGTAGAGAGTCGGGGGTTCGCTATTGAATCGGCATTGTACTTTGAACTCCTTGTACACATCTAGGATTTAGCAGAGATGGCTCTCCAACTTGAGCACGTGTTACCTTTCCTAGACGACCTACTTTGGTGTCCGATGTGCCTGTTTAACCGAAGGCTTCGGCAGAGGACATCGTGACCACAGTGGAGCTTTCGGGGCCCGAAAGCTTCGAAGAGACGTCGACAATGGCCGGCGATCTTTCACCGGGATGGTGGACACGTCGTCTTCATATCCAAACAAAGTGAGCTTTGAGCTTTTCATTTCGATAAGAACGAGCTTCTTCCCATGTGGAACCTGAACCAGCTCTTTGGAATCTGTCCATTGGACACCCTCGCATGCCCTAGCATGAAGGGAGCTCAGCATGAAGACCTTGCTGCAACACGGCTGAACTGTTTCGATGTGCACTGTCTTTCTCGACTCATTTGGCTCCAGGTTCAGCAGACTTCCGCTCAGACCACAACCACCGAAGTGGAAATGGACCTTACGACCTTTGAGGTCGGCTTAAGCGTCGATATTGATCGACATTTGCACTTTTTTGGAGGTTTAAGGGAAAGTCACCAGAAGTTCTTGACTCATCCTCACCTTTGCGGCAAGGCGACAAGTGTCCAAGGGTTGGTTGCCTGGGCGCTGCCTTTACCAACTCAACCGATCAAATCTGTTTGATGCAGTCCAACGGCCTGCTGACCTGACCTTCCAACCAATCCCATGGCGGGCTGCCGTGAGGAACACGCTGTGAGCCGTTCTTTGAATCTTCTCGCAATGCGACCTGAACTTCCCAATTTTCCTTCACGAAGCTTGTGCTCACTTCTTTGTGGCCAACTGCCGTTCCATGCGGTGACACAGACCTATTTAAGGCTGGCGCCTTGCAGCGAGACCAGAGTGTTTGTTCACATCCTCCGATCTCCCTGCCCATGTTTGATCTTACTTTACGCTTGACAAAACCAAAGGCTACCCACAGTCTTGCTTTTACTCTTGGCAGACTTCTTGAAGCTTTGCTCCAGCAGGTGGATCCACAGATCAAGGCGTGCTTGCTTCAGGGCCGGCATGCCCTTCCATGATTCGCTGTGAGCTCCCCCCGTTTCTCATCATTTCTCCTTTCCTCCATGATAATATCACTGCTCTCGTCATAGCAACTATGGACAATTTCATGCATTCTGCCTGGTAGATGCTCTGTTGCTAAACGTGTGAACGGAGTGCATGGGAGCGCCGTATCCGTCGCCGTGGCGGCGTCTTGAGGGGGGTTCAGGGCCGATGTTGGATGTTTGGTGAGTCAGGTGGTTTGTCATAATTGAGATTTTCCTTGATCGGTTGATTCCCTGAGCAGACCAAGCGGTCTTCTTATTTTGAATGCAGGTGAACCATGAAGGGCTTCAAGGCATCATAGAAGACCAGCCACGTCGACCTTCATTTTGTTTGCCATGCTTTGGAATCCTTAAAGATCTTAAATATGAGTAGCAAGAAGCTACTAAGTGGAGGCCACCTACTAGTAGCAAGAAGCTAGTCATAACAAGGGGCTTAAAGCTTCCAAACGAGTTCTGTGACCTGAGACATCTCCAGGACCTCACTTCATTCCAGATCGACAGCGAGTGGCTTTGTTTGCATTTTGCAGAGGTAACAGGTTGTGTTTGTTTGGTTGCTTGTTGTGTTGTTCAAAAACTGCCAAACACGAACATTGTTGTTTTGGTTGTTGTGTTTGTGTGTTGCGACTTGTTGATTCAGCAGCATAGTTGTGTCAGGCTTACATTTGTCAATCAGAGACACAACACTGCAAGACGGGTCGGCCCAAAATGGCCCACAAGTCTTTAGCTGACTCGTGTTGAAACATGTTTGCTTTGAAAATCGTTTGTTTTGCTGTGATGTAAGACTTTCAAACCTTTAAGATTGACTCTCTTTTTTTGCATATCTTTCTCGGGTGCATCAGGTGCATCTCATGGGCCATTGATTTCCTCATTTCTAGGTGCCTTGTGGTCCAGGTTAATTGAAACAAGTGACACTCAAGATGACTCGCGTAGCTAAAGCTTAGAGAGCTTAGGCATGCGATACGGATGGGTGATGTGCAATATGATGTTTTGTAAAAGTGGAGAATGACAATGTTTGTGCCTAATGACCTAATGTGAAGTGTGTTGACTGACAGTAGCCCTGTCCTCAGTGCGATGCAGCCAGTGAGCTCGGAAGAGCCAGTTCGGGACATTACCCACGTGTCTCATTCTATGCTTTGTGCTCGCGACTAGGTTGTCAACTTTCAGAGAATGAATATCCGGTTTGAATTCCTAAAAGGGTCATAAAGCATCTAACTTTGTATAACTAATTGTCAATAACTTCCACTCACAATGTAACCCACTCTGCTAAGGGGCGCGGGGAACACCTCATGGAGCTACACTGAGTCATGGGAGGGCACGAGTTCAGCCGCAGAGGCGCGGTTTTAAACAGGATACCGCGTGTTGGCTCAGCATGAACTGTGGCAAATGAACTTTGGAAATTGGAAGCGGATGCGTCGCTGAAAGTTTCGGGAGGTTTCCAGAGCAATTTCTCAGGTGGTGGGTATCCCGTGCTTTATGCTTTGGGCCATGCTGCGCTTGTAACTTGTCCAAGCTTTGGGAGTGTGCGCATGAGGCGTAAAACCAAACAAGAAGAAGTGAGAAATGGAGAAGTCACAAATCCGATTCCAAAGAGGAACAAGAAGCTACTAGGGGCTCCTGGCATCGCTACTAGGAGCAAGGACGCTACGCTCCTGACATCGCTACTAGGAGCAAGGACGCTACTGTACTAGTAAGAGGAACATGAAAATGCCATTGCTTGGGCTGGTTGGTGGAGCGTTTCGCCGAAAAGTCAATCGCTTTGTGTTTGTTTCACGTGAAGTTTCTTGAGAGGCTGAGGTGGCTGAGGCTGAGGAATCAAGCTTGTACTATAGGATTCTGTTGCTGTTTGTTCTTCTCTTCCCAACACTCATCATTTGCTTCTGAGGTAAAGCTTCTGCTTTGACACCTACGTTTCTGAGGAACAAAGTGGATATCTCAAAGACCTTGAAACTTGGGAACCCGATGACGACCATGATTGTTGAATAGAAATAGCATCATAGAATGCTTTGGTGAGCCCCTTGACGTTGCTAGTCTGCTGAGAACCCTTCCTTAAAACAAATAAATCTACCAGGCCTCGCAAGATGTTCGCTCGAAGTTCTACAACGAGCGTAGCAGAGTAGCTTGAAAATATTTGAAAAGAATTCAAAAACGAATTTGTCCGTCCGCAGCGATCAGCGATCCTGTTAGCCGACTTGAACTTTGCGAGAGAGAAAGAGTCGGAAAGAGTTCTCTTAGGTTGGAGGCCATCCCTCTTAGGTCGGAGGCCACCGCTATTAGGTTGGAGGCCATTCTTATTAGGTTGGAGGTCATCGCTCTTATATAATTTTGTTAGTCCCAATGGATTCAATGGATCTTTGACGAGTTGAACGCCTGGCCACGAGAGCCAAGGCGAAACGCGAAACGAGGTGCCTTGACAGGGACCTTTCTGCAACGGGGGGGGTTCACGTGCAAATTTTGGCGCTTTATCGGAGCCAACAACAACCATGACATGACATACTCGGATCTACCTAGTCAGATGGCAGCCCCTAGTAGCGTTCTTGCTACTAGTACCGAGAATTTTTGGATCATCCAGCGTCGAGTCAACGTATTGTAGACTTCAAACTCCTCAATGTCTCAAGCAATGAGCTGGATAGTTCGAACAGATGCAAACCTGCTTGTACTCAACATTTCTATTGAGCCACGTTTGCCACCCTCGATTGTTCTGAAAGAATACCCGTCAAGTTGACCGCCCCAATTTCCAGCTCATGGTCGGGAATGATAGATCGAGACGACATGTAAATTTTAATGTGCTTTTTGTTACTACTAGTAAGGCACTTGTTACTAGAAGTAAGGCACTTGTT